CCCGGATACGAGGTGCACACGGATCTGGAATAGGATGCCATTAAAGTTCATGTGCATGTCAAGGCAGACGTCCCAAAACTTTTGCCAATAAAGTGAATCTCACAGCTGGTAAATCTGTGTATCGCAGGTTAATAGACGTTTGCTCCAGGAGTAGATCATCATGAGTTTGGACATTTTTGAGAATTGATGCATTACAATTTAACTAAACCCATTAGATTTTAGTCGACCAAAACAGTTCAGATGATTAAAATATGACTGAAACTAAATCAAAATTTGTTGTCAAAATGAACACTGCACTGAACAGACACACACACACCCTTCTTCGAGGTGAAGCGGCGAATCACATGACTCACATTCCTCTTTCTGCTGTAACTCGTGTTCTGCTGTAGTTAAAGAGGATATTGCTGTGCCTGTGATGTTCCTCATGTGAATGTCCGTGTGTGTGTGTGTGTGTGTGTGTGTGTGTGTGTGCAGGACGTGGACCTGCGGCTGAAGTGGCCCAATGACATCTACTACAGTGACCTGATGAAGCTGGGCGGGGTTCTGGTGAACTCCAGCCTGACGGGTCAGAGCTTCCGGCTTCTGATCGGTACGTCTCGCTTGGTTACGGGTCGCACTTCACCGCCAGTGTCACGCGTGACGTCTCTCCTGTGTCCCTCAGGCTGCGGCTTCAACGTGAGCAACAGCAACCCGACGGTCTGCATCAACGACCTGGTGCGTCAGCAGAACCGCGAGCAGAACCGCAGTCTGGAGCCGCTGGAGCCGGAGCAGCTCATCGCCCGGGCCGTCACACTGCTGGAGCGCTTCGTCTCGGACTTCCAGCTGCGCGGGTCAGACACACTGCTGCCGCTCTACTACAGCCGCTGGGTGCACGGGTGAGTGTGTGTGCGTGTGTGTGTGTGTGTGTTTCAGGGGCCTGACGTGTGTGTGTGTGTGTGTGTGTTTCAGGGCCCTGACGTGTGTGTGTGTGTGTGTTTCAGGGGCCTGACGTGTGTGTGTGTGTTTCAGGGGCCTGACGTGTGTGTGTGTGTGTTTCAGGGACCTGACGTGTGTGTGTGTGTGTGTGTTTCAGGGGCCTGACGTGTGTGTGTGTGTGTGTGTGTGTGTGTATTTCAGGGGCCTGACGTGTGTGTGTGTGTGTTTCAGGGGCCTGATGTGTGTGTGTGTGTTTCAGGGGCCTGACGTGTGTGTGTGTGTGTGTGTGTGTGTGTGTGTGTGTGTTTCAGGGGCCTTACGTGTGTGTGTGTTTCAGGGGCCTGACGTGTGTGTGTGTTTCAGGGGCCTGACGTGTGTGTGTGTGTGTGTTTCAGGGGCCTGACGTGTGTGTGTTTCAGGGGCCTGATGTGTGTATGTGTGTGTGTGTGTGTGTGTGTTTCAGGGGCCTGACGTGTGTGTGTGTGTTTCAGGGGCCTGACGTGTGTGTGTGTGTGTGTTTCAGGGGCCTGACGTGTGTGTGTGTTTCAGGGGCCTGACGTGTGTGTGTGTTTCAGGGGCCTGACGTGTTTGTGTGTTTCAGGGGCCTGACGTGTTTGTGTGTTTCAGGGGCCTGACGTGTGTGTGTTTCAGGGGCCTGACGTGTGTGTGTGTGTGTGTGTGTGTGTGTGTTTTTCAGGGGCCTGACGTGCGTGTGTGTGTGTGTGTGTTTGTGTGTGTTTCAGGGGCCTGACGTGTGTGTGTGTGTGTTTCAGGGGCCTGACGTGTGTGTGTGTTTCAGGGGCCTGACGTGTTTGTGTTTCAGGGACCTGACGTGTGTGTGTGTGTGTGTTCAGGGGCCTGGCGTGTGTGTGTGTGTGTATGTGTGTTTCAGGGGCCTGACATTTGTGTGTGTGTGTGTTTCAGGGGCCTAACGTGTGTGTGTGTTTCAGGGGCCTGACGTGTGTGTGTGTGTGTTTCAGGGGCCTGACGTGTGTGTGTGTTTCAGGGGCCTGACGTGTTTGTGTTTCAGGGACCTGACGTGTGTGTGTGTGTGTGTTCAGGGGCCTGGCGTGTGTGTGTGTGTGTATGTGTGTTTCAGGGGCCTGACATTTGTGTGTGTGTGTGTTTCAGGGGCCTAACGTGTGTGTGTGTTTCAGGGGCCTGACGTGTGTGTGTGTGTTTCAGGGGCCTGACGTGTGTGTGTGTGTGTGTGTGTTTCAGGGGCCTGACGTGTGTGTGTGTGTGTGTTTCAGGGGCCTGACGTGTGTGTGTGTTTCAGGGGCCTGACGTGTTTGTGTTTCAGGGACCTGACGTGTGTGTGTGTGTGTGTTCAGGGGCCTGGCGTGTGTGTGTGTGTGTATGTGTGTTTCAGGGGCCTGACATTTGTGTGTGTGTGTGTTTCAGGGGCCTAACGTGTGTGTGTGTTTCAGGGGCCTGACGTGTGTGTGTGTGTTTCAGGGGCCTGACGTGTGTGTGTGTGTGTGTGTTTCAGGGGCCTGACGTGTGTGTGTGTGTGTTTCAGGGGCCTGACGTGTGTGTGTGTTTCAGGGGCCTGGCGTGTTTGTGTGTTTCAGGGGCCTGACGTGTGTGTGTTTCAGGGGCCTGACGTGTGTGTGTGTTTCAGGGGCCTGACGTGTGTATGTGTTTCAGGGGCCTGATGTGTGTGTGTGTGTTCAGGGGCCTGGCGTGTGTGTGTGTGTGTGTGTGTGATTCAGGGGCCTGACGTGTGTGTGTGTTTCAGGGGCCAGACGTGTGTGTGTGTTTCAGGGGCCTGACGTGTGTGTGTGTTTCAGGGGCCTGACGTGTGTGTGTGTGTGTGTGTGTTCAGGGGCCTGACGTGTGTGTGTGTTTCAGGGGCCTGACGTGTTTGTGTGTTTCAGGGGCCTGACGTGTGTGTGTTTCAGGGGCCTGACGTGTGTGTGTGTGTGTGTGTGTGTGTGTTTTAGGGGCCTGACGTGTGTGTGTGTGTGTTTCAGGGGCCTGACGTGTGTGTGTGTGTGTGTTTCAGGGGCCTGACGTGTGTGTGTGTTTCAGGGGCCTGACGTGTTTGTGTGTTTCAGGGGCCTGACGTGTGTGTGTTTCAGGGGCCTGACGTGTGTGTGTGTGTTTCAGGGGCCTGACGTGTGTATGTGTTTCAGGGGCCTGACGTGTGTGTGTGTGTTCAGGGGCCTGGCGTGTGTGTGTGTGTGTGTGTGTGTTTCAGGGGCCTGACGTGTGTGTGTGTTTCAGGGGCCTGGCGTGTGTGTGTGTGTGTGTTTCAGGGGCCTGACGTGTGTGTGTGTGTGTGTGTGTTTCAGGGGCCTGACGTGTGTGTGTGTGTGTTTCAGGGGCCTGACGTGTTTGTGTGTTTCAGGGGCCTGACGTGTGTGTGTTTCAGGGGCCTGAGATGTGTGTGTGTGTATTTCAGAGGCCTGACGTGTGTGTGTGTGTGTGTGTTTCAGGGGCCTGACGTGTGTGTGTGTGTGTGTGTTTCAGGGGCCTGATGTGTGTGTGTGTTTCAGGGGCCTGACGTGTGTGTGTGTTTCAGGGGCCTGACGTGTGTGTGTGTTTCAGGGGCCTGACGTGTGTGTGTGTGTGTGTTTCAGGGGCCTGACATGTGTGTGTGTTTCAGGGGCCTGACGTGTGTGTGTGTGTGTTCAGGGGCCTGGCGTGTGTTTGTGTGTGTGTGTTTCAGGGGCCTGACGTGTGTGTGTGTGTGTGTGTGTGTGTGTTTCAGGGGCCTGACGTGTGTGTGTGTGTGTTTCAGGGGCCTGACGTGTGTGTGTGTGTTTCAGGGGCCCGACGTGTTTGTGTGTTTCAGGGGCCTGACGTGTGTGTGTTTCAGGGGCCTGACGTGTGTGTGTGTGTATTTCAGAGGCCTGATATGTGTGTGTGTGTGTGTGTATTTCAGAGGCCTGACGTGTGTGTGTGTGTGTGTGTGTTTCAGGGGCCTGACGTGTGTGTGTGTGTGTGTGTGTGTTTCAGGGGCCTGATGTGTGTGTGTGTTTCAGGGGGCTGACGTGTGTGTGTGTTTCAGGGGCCTGACGTGTGTGTGTGTTTCAGGGGCCTGACGTGTGTGTGTGTGTGTGTTTCAGGGGCCTGACGTGTGTGTGTGTGTGTGTTTCAGGGGCCTGACGTGTGTGTGTGTGTGTTTCAGGGCCCTGACGTGTGTGTGTGTGTGTGTTTCAGGGGCCTGACGTGTGTGTGTGTGTTTCAGGGGCCTGACGTGTGTGTGTGTGTGTGTGTGTGTGTGTGTGTGTGTGTATTTCAGGGGCCTGACGTGTGTGTGTGTGTGTGTGTGTTTCAGGGGCCTGATGTGTGTGTGTGTGTTTCAGGGGCCTGACGTGTGTGTGTGTTTCAGGGGCCTTACGTGTGTGTGTGTTTCAGGGGCCTGACGTGTGTGTGTTTCAGGGGCCTGATGTGTCTATGTGTGTGTGTGTGTGTGTTTCAGGGGCCTGACGTGTGTGTGTGTGTGTGTTTCAGGGGCCTGACGTGTGTGTGTGTTTCAGGGGCCTGACGTGTGTATGTGTGTGTGTGTGTGTGTGTGTGTGTGTGTTTCAGGGGCCTGACGTGTGTGTGTGTGTGTGTGTGTTTCAGGGGCCTGACGTGTGTGTGTGTGTTTCAGGGGCCTGACGTGTGTGTGTGTGTGTGTGTGTGTTTCAGGGGCCTGACGTGTGTGTGTTTCAGGGGCCTGACGTGTGTGTGTGTGTGTGTGTTTCAGGGGCCTGACGTGTGTATGTGTGTGTGTGTGTGTGTGTGTGTGTGTTTCAGGGGCCTGACGTGTGTGTGTTTCAGGGGCCTGATGTGTGTGTGTGTGTTCAGGGGCCTGACGTGTGTGTGTGTGTGTTTCAGGGGCCTGACGTGTGTGTGTGTTTCAGGGACCTGACGTGTGTGTGTGTGTTCAGGGGCCTGGCGTGTGTGTGTATGTGTGTTTCAGGGGCCTGACATTTGTGTGTGTGTGTGTTTCAGGGGCCTAACGTGTGTGTGTGTTTCAGGGGCCTGACGTGTGTGTGTGTGTGTTTCAGGGGCCTGACGTGTGTGTGTGTGTGTTTCAGGGGCCTGACGTGTGTGTGTGTTTCAGGGGCCTGACGTGTTTGTGTGTTTCAGGGGCCTGACGTGTGTGTGTTTCAGGGGCCTGACGTGTGTGTGTGTGTGTGTGTGTTTCAGGGGCCTGACGTGTGTGTGTGTTTCAGGGGCCTGACGTGTGTGTGTGTGTGTTCAGGGGCCTGGCGTGTGTGTGTGTGTGTGTGTGTTTCAGGGGCCTGACGTGTGTGTGTTCAGGGGCCTGGCGTGTGTGTGTGTGTTTCAGGGGCCTGACGTGTGTGTGTGTGTTTCAGGGGCCTGACGTGTGTGTGTGTGTGTTTCAGGGGCCTGACGTGTGTGTGTGTGTTTCAGGGGCCTGACGTGTTTGTGTGTTTCAGGGGCCTGACGTGTGTGTGTTTCAGGGGCCTGACGTGTGTGTGTGTGTATTTCAGAGGCCTGATATGTGTGTGTGTGTGTATTTCAGAGGCCTGACGTGTGTGTGTGTGTGTGTGTGTGTGTGTTTCAGGGGCCTGACGTGTGTGTGTGTGTGTTTCAGGGGCCTGACGTGTGTGTGTGTTTCAGGGGCCTGACGTGTGTGTGTTTCAGGGGCCTTACGTGTGTGTTTGTTTCAGGGGCCTGACGTGTGTGTGTGTTTCAGGGGCCTGACGTGTGTGTGTGTGTTTCAGGGCCCTGACGTGTGTGTGTGTGTGTGTTTCAGGGGCCTGACGTGTGTGTGTGTTTCAGGGCCCTGACGTGTGTGTGTGTGTGTTTCAGGGGCCTGACGTTTGTGTGTGTGTTTCAGGGCCCTGACGTGTGTGTGTGTGTGTGTTTCAGGGGCCTGACGTGTGTGTGTGTGTGTGTGTGTGTGTGTGTGTGTATTTCAGGGGCCTGACGTGTGTGTGTGTGTGTTTCAGGGGCCTGATGTGTGTGTGTGTGTGTTTCAGGGGCCTGACGTGTG